TAAAGGTCGTTCTTGGGCTAAAAAAAAAAGCCCTGCTGGCACAGTGCTTGAAGCATTGGCTGTTAATAGAAAGATCTGGTTCCAACCCGTCAGCCACTCTGTGGGAGAAAGATGTGGCCGTGCTCCTCCATAGCGATTTAGTTTTAAGAACTCTATGGAGGCAGCTCTACATTCACATAGCTGAGTCAGAACTGACTTGAGAACAGTGGGGTTTCTTCCTCCCTGGTTAGAGCTGTCATTGTTCTTTACTGTAGAGTCAGAACCGACCCATAGCTAACTCTCCAGTGGGTTTTCAGAGGCAGTTAATTGCACGGAAGGAGACTGTCCATTCTTCTCCCGAGGAGTAGCTGGTGGCCTCGAACCACATGCCTTAGGGATTGCAGTGCAGCTTCTTGCCACTAGGCCACCAGAGCTCCAGATATTCTAATACTCATGAGTAGAAAACACCAGCTGACTTTATTCATACTATTACTGAAAGACTTGTGGGAGATCCCAACTCCGGAGAAACTTAAAAAGTTTTTGTGGCAATTTCAAAGTTCTCCGTGTTAATAGCAGAGCTTCAACCTGATTCTTGCATGGCTGACAGAAATTAGGCCAGTGTATATGTTGCATGCTGCTTTAAAGTTCAGGAAGATCAATGGAGCAGCTGGATTCTACAGAAGTTTGTTTTCTGTTTTGGTTGAGCCTTGAGTGTGGTCTGTTGCTTGCAATTGGGTGTGAGCTGATTGGATTTGGCCTCCTATTTTAAAAAGTCATTTGGACCCCTGTAGGCAGGCCCTCCGGCCTGGTTTCGTTTCCAATCAAACATTCTTCTTAGTATAGCACTGGTCTGTCCATTTGCTGTACTGAGGTAACTCAAGGTTGCTTTGATGGCAAACACTGTGAAACTGATGTGTCAAATGTAATAATGGTTGTACATAGTGGACAGTGTTTGGTGATGTTCTCAAAGCAAGCTTGGAAGCAGAAGTGGCATCAACTTCCAAAACAGTCGGCCTCCGGAAACTCTATGAACTTAAGAGAAATGATGAAAGTTAGGCATGTTCAGGACTTTGGTTCATAGGATTGCTGAGTTGTTTACAACTTGACAGCACTTAACAACATGTGTTGTCTACTTGACGGTGCTTAACAACATGTATTGCACAGCAACCAAATCTTTTTTTTCTATGATTATATTTTATTAATTTTCGTAAACATTTACAGAGATTTTGGGTTTCCATTCATTCATTGTTGCACTATTCTCTCTACCCTCCTCCCAGTTTGTTCTTGTCCAAATGCCACAGTGCTTGTCAAAGCCAGTTCTGATTAATCTTCTTTGTCAGTGTGTCCTTTGCCATTCCCTATCACTCCTCCCTGAGAGAGACTTCACCCTGAGTCATAAGGAAAAGGGGATGGCGTATTCTCTTAGCTACTTCCTGCTGAAAAGGGACGCTGTGGGTTTCAGGGTGAAGATCTTCTCTCACTACTCTAAAGGGCCCCTTTGGCAGTAGGAAACACATAGACTATTATGGAGATTGATTTTGGAATTTAGATGCACTCTTATTGATTGTGCTTGGCCGTACATGTTCATATCCTTGAAGATGTATCATGGGGGTGTTGCAACCTAGAAGATACAAATTTGACTAACAAGTTATAAGTACATGAGTCAAACATTATGGAAAAGTAAAAGAAAAGATTCTTTCATTAGCAACCAAATCTTGAGATGTTGACCCAAATTGGAAAAGATTGGTGCCCCTATCAAAGATGGTAGCCAACTACCATCAAAGCAGTTGATTTGCTGCCATCTTTGAGTGAGGTATCACTACCTGTTTTCCTACTTAGGTCAAAACTGACCAAGATACTTCGTTTCTGTAGACCTTGACTGAGCCATTTTATAATTCTACTTTATAATTAGAAAGTGGGAGGCACAGATGAGAGCTCAGAAGGCAGGAGAAATGGGGTCTGTGTATTCTCTCTCCACCCTTTTGGGCTGGGGGTGCTACCAACTTCCCCTAATTAGTAGATCCTGAACTGACTTGATGACAAGGGTTTTGAGTTTTGGGGTGCTTCACAGGAGCCCTGGTGGCCCGGTGGTTACAGCACTCAGCCACTGACCAAAAGATTGGTGGTTTGAACCCACTAGTGACTCCATCAGACATCAGCTTCTGTAAAGATTTACAGCCACGGAAATGCTAAGGGGCAGAATCCTGTCCTTTACGTCGTGACGAATCCGAATTGAGTTGGCATCAGTGAGTTTGGGTTTTTATTTTTGGTTTGAGTGCTTCAACACCCTTTGTGCATTTCCTTACCCTCCCACTCTGTGAACTGTCCCTTTATAGACATTCTTCAGTTAAACCCTGAAGAATGTGTCATCCTGCCAGGGTCCTGAATGACTAGGAATAATTTAACTCAAACACAGCTGGAGCAAACTTGCAAGTTTATTATACAGGTTACAGAAAGTTTTAAAAAGAGAAAGGAACATAAAAACAGTAACATAGTATTTTATAAGCACAAAGTGACCATACAGTAATAATAGTCATAGTAAGTGAGAGGTATATTAATACATACAAAGAAAAAAAAAAACAATGGAATTCCACTGATTTGAATAAAATGAATACAGTAACCACATTAATAAAAACAATGCTAGCTTCTACTTATAATAGTTATATTACTTTTATGTAAACTATTCTAAGGTATTTGTAAAAGGTTTGCTCTTTTAAACAGGTAAACTTTTTAACTAATGCCTCCATTTTTTTTTTCTTTTATAAGGAAAACAAAGCTACAAAGAAACCTAATTTTCAATCTACTTTGTCAAATGAGTGAGGATGTTTTAGGTACCTGGGGGTTAGAAATACTATTATAAATTATCTAATTAATGCTTCTCCTTCCCCAAACCCCATTAACCTGTAAGTAAAAGGAAAACATGAAGGAATTTTATTAAAATTCAAGGTCTATGGCGCAGGAGAGGAAGACCCTTGAGGATATGGATCGATTCTGTGAGTGGAGTGGTGGGAATGAGTGTGTTTGAGACGGCGAGGTTGGCACAGGATAGAACACCGTTTAGGGCTCTTGTACATAGGGTCGCTATGAGTCGCAAATGACTCGATGGCACATAACACCACCACCACTCAATATGGCTTTTTCTAATTATCCTATCAAAATTAACTCTTAAAAAATCCTGATGTGAGAAATTTATTGAACAATGATTTTTAAAGAGTCCAGTTAATGTAGGCTAGAGGAGTGATTGATTTTTAAAAACACACTTCCTGTATTGGATTATGTTTCTACCTCAAACTATAACCACAGGAAGCAGTAATGCAAATGTTCTAATTTCTTTAACCATCAAGCCTTGCTTGTGTTAAGATATACTTGGAGATGCTGGCAAAAACAATTTTTCAAATAATGATATTTATTTATTAAACACACCTCACAGTCTCCTGCTAACTATGGATGAGTTGTTTGCTGTTTTTTCTTGAGGGCAGGTTTGAGTCTCATTCAAGGCTATATCCCCAGCACCCACCAACGTGCCCACAGCACACAGCAGGGGTTCACGTTTGCTCCGTGGTGTTTCCCTGTGAGGACTAACCTTTTTTAAAAAAAATTTTATTTTATTAATTTTAATGAACATTTACAAAGATTTTGGATTTCCATTCATTCATTGTTGCACATTTCTCCCTGTTCCCTCCTGCCCGTACACTCCTCTCTTTGAAAAGTAAAAGAAAAATTCTTTCATTGGTATACATTCCCCCTGCCCTGAGTACACTCCACTATGCAACCTTAATTCTGGACTCTTGTGATAACCATAATACCCTATCATATACCACTTTTAAATTGTTCTCTCCCTCATCTGTTTCAATGCAGTATACATAATTTATCTAGTTTTTCTCAGTCTTACCCCAACCCTGATGTCAGTCCCATTCTACAAGAGTGGCACCATGCAGTATTTGTCCTTTTGTGACTGAGATATCTCACTCAGCATAATGGAAGACTGACCTTTTCAAGGTAACCACCAGAAGTGGTTGTTTTTGAAAAGGGTAGGAAAGATTTGCAGTCTTCACCTCCTAAGATATCACCTCTTAGTTCACTGATTTCTAACAGACACAGTGAGTCCACAGGCAAGCCTGGGGAACACAGCAGGAGAGTGGAGGAAGGTGGTGACCCCAGCTGTGTTCTCTGGGTGCTCAGCTGAAGTTACCACATCTCTGGATGGAAGTTTCCCAACCTGCCCTTGCATGTGTCTGCCGCTTAGAGTCCTGCATCGGGCTGAGCTGGGGGCGCATGAGCATTCTAGGGGGATGGGGAAGGGATAGAACGGTGGGGGAACACGGGGCAGGGGGGATTCCTCTCTGAAAGCCAATGGAAGGTCTCTCGGGGGCTTGAATGCTCATTCTTGGTTTATATATATAGCGTGTAAAATACCAGCCAGACCCAAAGAAGGGTGTTTTAATCATTTTAAGAATTCAGCCTTTGCATGTTTAAAAGAAAAAACCCAAAACCACCTCAGAGCGTTTTTCACACACAGAGTGCCCAGTCTTATCTCTTAATAACTTAAACATTGCAGATAAACAATTTCCAAATATACTTATTAGTAAAAGCTGCCTAAGTTCAAACCATGCAGCCTGCCACTCCTGACCGGCATCTTCAGTGTTCAAGACGAAACCTCGGCAATGCAGACTGCGCATATAACAGATTATCCCTACAATCTCTTAAAATAAAAAAAGAACCTTTCAAAGTGCCTATTCTATACTGTATGGCAAGTATGTATCACCTGAATATATCAAAGAGTAACATTCAGTTATTGCTGCAGCACTGGCAACATTTCCTCTCAAGAACACTATCTTCTATCCCTGTCACCTTGTGGAATAATGAACAAACATATGTGCTCAACTGCTGTCCAAAGAAACAGGCATGCAAAGAATACACAGGCCATTTTACATGTTGAAGCAAACCTTTGCTCACAAGGACTGACAGAATCCTCAGGCTATATCTGCTTTCCTTTTTAACCTAACAGCGGTCCCCCTTGCCTATGTCAACAGCTTTTTGTATAAGCTGTTATTCAAGTTGGTAGAGCAGGTGTCCATTTTGCTTGCCATTAACTGACCGCTGCTGTTGTAACTGGTGGGATCCGAACTTTCTTTGCAGCACAAGATGCTGTAGAGGTACCTCTGGCAGTCGGAGGAAGCGTAATAGTAAATCATGGGATCGATGCAACAGCTTACACTGCTGACACAGACACAGAGGAGGTAGGCAAAGTAGGCAGACTCCATGGCGGAATCGGAAGAGAAGAGGGAATAGTGCATAATGAGGAGGATATTCGTAGGTCCAAAGCAAATGATGAAGATACAGAAAACAGCAGCTGACAGGAACAGAGCCCGGGTCTTTTTGGTCGGGCTGGCAACAGTAGAAGAGCTCAGACATCGGATGATAGACACATAACAGACTGTGGTAATGGCCAGTGGCACAAAAAAGAAGACAGCAGAGAAGGCTGTGAAGTAATACGCATAATAGTCGTCATGCAGGGTTTGGCCGAGCACATCATGGCAGGCGGTGATGTTGAGGCCCGGAACCTGGGTGGTTTGTTCCTTGATGACAAGGGGCACCACCCCCCCAATGGCCACGGCCCAGATGGCCAGACAAGCGAAGGAAGCTCTCCCCAGAGTGCGCCAGGAGAGGGACTGCATGGGATACACCACGGCCAGGAAGCGGTCAATGCTGATGACCGTCATGAGCATGATGGAGGCGTACATGTTACAGTAAAACGCTGCCGTAACAAAGCGACACATCTCAGACCCAAATTTCCAGTCATTTCCAGAAAAATAATAGCTGATCTTAAAGGGGAGCGCAGCCACAAAGAGCACATCTGCCGTGGCCAGATGCAGCATGTACACGACAGCCGGCTTCTTGACCTTCATTTTCCCGATGAACACGACAATGGCCATGATGTTCAGAGGAAGACTCATCATGAACACCCCGGTGTAAACAGCTGGGATGAAGACTGTCAGCCACGTGCTGGTCAGGTAAGCGGAGGCCTCCTCGGAGATGAATGCGGGGGGTCGCTTCTGGGAGGGCTGGCTTTTATTGACGGAGACTAATCTGTCTTCAGGGACGCTGCTTTCATTTACCCCCTCCACATCTTCGTGTGGGAAGTCTTCGTAATTATCAACACGATTCCTGACTAGAAATGTTCGGATTCCTGGAGTAGCGTTTTCTATTTGGGATTCTGAAGAACAAAAGAGAAAAAAAATATATATATATATATTCAATAAGTTGAAAAGGTAAAAGAGGTCACTAGAAAAGAAATATAACTTCTGCTTATTTTTCCCCCCCTTACTATGAGCTGGACAATGAATAAGGATGACATAAGAAGCACTGATGCCTTTGAATTGTGGTGTTGGAGAGGAGTCCTGAATATCCCACAGACTTTCAAGAGAACAAACAGATATGTCTTGGAAAAAGTGCAGCCCGAGTGCTCCTCAGAGGCGAAAGTGACAAAGCTTTGTCTTTCATACTTTGGGCATGTACCTAGGAGAGGCTATTCCTTGGAAAAGGACATCCTGCTTGGAAAGAGCGAGGGTCAGTGAAGGAGAGGATACAACGAGATGGATTGACAGGGGAACTTCAGCAATGAGCTCTAGTGTGTCAGCAATGATGAGGCTGGCACAGGATAGGACAGGGTTGAGGCCCCTGCTGTTCACAGGGTCACTGTGAGATGGACTTGACTTGATGGCACCCAACAACAACAACATGAGACAGGGAATGTGCCAATGGAATTCAGACTTTTATAATCAAAATTACTAACGCAAAATAGTACATTTTGTGTGACACAAACACTTTCAAAGCTCTACTACTCAGAGGGATGAAGAATGGTAGACTTTCAGAGGTGTATCTTAAGGCATCAGGAAAGGATGTTTCTCTTGACATGAAAGGAAAACAAACCAGGGATTTCTTTGTATACTAGCCACCATCATGAAACAAGTCACTTTCAACTTATTTATTAAGTACCTGACTTCTTTCTCTTTTACCCAGATACCTTCTTAGTCACATTTCTCTATTCAGATTACAAAAAGTCATGACTTTCATCCCTTCTTATGGAAAAAACCCACAGAAAAAGTTGAGGACGCTTCTTGTCAATTATTTTCATTTACTTTGTTGGTGTTACATACTGTTGAGTCAGAAGCCATCTATAGCTGACCCTCAAGTGGGTTTTTCAGAGGCAGCTAATCACACGGGAGGAGATATCTTTCTCCTGTAGAGCAGCTGGTGGTTTTGAACACTGCCTTTGGATTGGCAGCATAACTCCTTACCATACTGCAGCAGAAGTATACCATGCAACGACTTCTACAAACACAATGTGGTGACAGTGATTGTATTCTAGTGCAACCATTGTTACCTTCCTTATCTGAAATGTTCCTCCTCCATGACCATAATCTTACTGTCTCCTAAGGTTCTCTCTAACTTTTCAAGTTGTTATTACCTATTTCACCTCATTCAGATCTACTGCTTGGTTTAAAAAAGACTTCAGGGGATATTTTTGGTTTTAAGGTCTAAAGGTAATCTCAGGGCAATGGTTGCAGGAGTTTATCTAGCCTCAGTGTGTCAAGAATGTCTAAATTCCCTGAGAATGTGAAAATCAGTTCTGCATTTTTCCCCTCTTCAATCAGAATTCTAGAAAACTTTTTATCAGAATAGTCAGTAATGGCAGCTTCTTCTGGTCTTATGGCAACAGAGAGAAGTTGTTCATAGAGGCAATGAGCTAAACATTCTATTTCATTTTAAGGGACATTCTTAAACTTTAGAGAATTAGAGAAACACATTCAAATTCAGACCATGGGCTCCCAATTCCATCACCATTATCCACATGTCATGCGACAGTCATTTTCCTCTATTATCTTTAGTTTGTTCATAGAGTATCAGCTGCAGTTGACTTTATGTAGATCAGAGTAGAACTGGCACCACAGGATATTTAATAGCTGATTTGGGGGGAAGTAAATTGCCAAGACTTTCTTCTAAGCAGCCTCTAGATTGGCTTCAATCTGTCTGATCAGTAGCTGAGAGACTGTTGTTTATAAAAGTGGGATGATCCAATTTCTCATCACATTTAGGTTGAAACCACAATCTCTCAAGTTATTTCTAAATTTTAAAACCACAGCACATGCCCCACCTCAGTCATCATCCTGCCTCCATCCCCAGCACGTCAGCAGATGTCCTGGGGCGCTCATAGGAGGCAGGTGGCCTCCCTCAGCTAGCTTCTAGAACCTGTGACAAGTCTGGAGCCAGCCCAACCAGGATCTTTTTTGGAGTATCAAAAGTATCTTTTGATGAAAGAAAAAAAAGGTATCTTTTGAGTATCAACTAGATGTAAAGGGGGGGGGAAGGGGAGAGAGAGAGACTCAGCTGCTAACTTTCTGCTTTTATTTCCCTCTTCTACCAAAAACATTCATTTGAAATGGTCATCAAAGAAATGCAATAATTAGCAGCTGGAATGCAACCAGATTTTCCTTGCAATGAGCTCTGGTAAACGTCTACCATTCAAGAGACACGGACAAAAAGCCTCTGTTGAATTCTGAGAAGTCAAAACGGAAGAGAGAAGCCACAAAGGAAAATAGGCAATGCAACTGGGTCTCGAAGAAAGCAGCTGCTTCCAATCAAGGCCAGCCATGCAAATCACCTAGAAATAATGACAGGGGATTTAAAGATGGGCTGAACGTTGGACAAGTATAATACGTTTTCACTTCTGGTATGGCTCTTTAAAAGTAATTTCCTATATATTTCATCTTGAGAGAAGGCCAAGTCACATGATACCAAAAACTCAAATAGAAAAATTGCAGTCTTTCTGGCCAGAAGAGTCAGCAGCAGCGTTTAGGCAATTATATGTCATTGGGGGTGGGGGGTGGGGTGGGGAGAGAATCTTGGAAAAGGGGAAGTCAGAGAGGAGGAAATCCCAAATTCTATTATGTACCTTGTTGTGTGTTGTCATGAGTCAGAATCCACTCATAGCTGACCCTCCAACAGGTTTTCAGAAGCGGCAAATCACACAGGAGGAGACTGCTCCTTCTTCCCCAGAGGAGCAGCTGGTGGATTAGAAATGCATGCCTTTGGGATTGCAAGCAGCTTCTTACCACAAGGCCACCAGAGCTCCCTACCCTAGTCATTGATAACCCTTGAGCTAACCACGTGGTAAGAAGCTGCACTACCAATACAGGGGCGTGGAGTTTGAACCCACTAGAAGGAGGAGGAGGAGGAGGGAGGGAGGAGAAGGAAAAAGGGAGGAGAAGGAGGAGGAGGAAGAAGGGAGGAGGAGGAGGAAGAAGGGAGGAGGATGGAGGTAGAAGGGAGGAGGAGAAAGAAGGGAGGAGGAGAGAGAGAGAGAGACCATGAAGGAGGAAGAGGTAGAAAAGGAGGAGGAAAGGAAATGATGTGAGCTTTGAGTCTCTGCTCAAGAGGTTTTGCTTGTTTGTTTGTTTGACCATATTAATTGCCTGCTAAGTAAAACTTGGAAGCTGGAGTGGCATCCACTTCCTAAATAACATGCCTCTGGAAACTCTATGAACTCCGATAAATGTCAATAAATGTAGAGGGGCTTCAAGCCTTTTGTCAGAGGGTCACTATGAGTCTTTCTCTACTCAAAGACAATCAACAACAACAAGTAAAACTATCAATACTCTTTGGAGGTATATAACAAAATCCAGTGTTTACAGAACAACAACACTCAATATGTTGTTATTGTTATGTGCCACAGAGTCACTTGCGACTCATAGCGACCCTATGTACAACAGCCCTAAACTCGGCTCTGTCCTGTGCCAATCGCACTGTCTCCGATACACCCATCCCGATTACCCCAGTCACTCAATCAATCCACCTCATAAAGGGCTTTCCCCTCCTGCACCGTCCCTCCACGCTCCCAAGCATGATGTCCCTCTCCAAAGACCAGTCCCTCCTGGCAACATGTCCAAAGTATGTCAGACGAAGCCCCAGAATCCTTGCCTCCAAGGAGCAGTCCAGTTTAACCCTCTCAAGGATGAATCTGTTTTCTTGGCAGTCCATGGTACATTCAATATTCTTCTCCAGCACCACAGCTCAAAGGCATCAATTCTCCTTCTATCCTCCCTAGTCATTGTTCAACTCTCTGATGCATAACAAGTGATTGCAAAGACCATAGCCTTTATCAGACACACCTTTGTCTCTAGAGAGACACCACTGCTCTTCAGTACTTTGGAGAGGTACCTAACAGCATGCAAAATAATCTGAATCAAGAAAAAAAGACCACTAAAGGAAACCAAGACGGCACAGATGCTGGAATAAGCAAATAGGGATTTTAAAGAACTTTAAGGAGCACTGGCAGCAGAAGGTATAACATGTCAAGTGGCTAACCATAAGGTCAGTGGTTAAAATCCACCATCAGAGGGACAAAGGTGAGCATTCTTTTCTAGCCTAGGGTTGCTATGAGTCGCAGGCGACTCTACGGCACATAACAACAACAACAACAACCTGATAGACAGTTGCTATGAGTCAGCAGCAACTCAACAGCAGTGTGGGTTTTTAATGCTTAATGAAGCATGGAAAATATTTCATTGAAATGAATGGAAAAAGTAAGGAAACAGCATCAAAGAAAACTTTTTCCCCAAAGGAAAGAAATGGAAATTCTGGAACTAGAAAGCACATTAAAATAAACTGACCATCTATTTCCAAAATGAAAAACAAAACTAGATAATTTTAAGAGATGCTGATTCAAGGCCTCTCAGTGAAGATCACTAGATAGAAGATTAAATAAATTCCTTTTTCAAGATAATGAAGGGGTGGCCTGGCAGAAGAGCTATCACAGAGAAAGGACAAATGTTTCCAATGATACATCTCAGTATACATATGTGTCCAGATTGCTCTTCAAGCAATAAGAACCTGCCTATCAACCCACACATCTCCAGCACAATGATCTGCGTGATGGCACTCCTTAAGTCAGCTTTTAGTCATATATTTACAGTCTTTTTTTAAAAATTTACATTCTAATATTAGGTCTTCCAACATCTACAGGATATCTTCATCCAGATTCATCTCTACATATTAAGACACTTCACCTCTGGGTTCAGTCTCAGAATGATTAGAATCAGATTCCAAAACAGTCACCTACAACATCTGGCAGCAGGAAACATCTCATGTGAAATAAGACATGTGGATTAATAAAATATAAGAAATCCTTGTTTACTTCCCCCTCCTACTTCCATG